AGGTCTAACTCCTATATCTGTCTCTGGGCTTTTATTATTTGTGCTACACTGTGGTAATATATACCTAAGTATTTTATTTTTGTTAGTTACTGTGGATTAAATTGCTTTCTTTTATTTTTTCAAACAGCTTTAATAACATAAAAACACTACCAATACAAAAACTACCATCGATCTTTGAATAACAATTTTGTATCCTGTAATTCACCTCATTTTTTAGTTTAAATTATTTTTGGAATTTTAATCAGAGTTGGAATTTAATAAAGATATTCTAAAATGGATTTTAAGCACAGGAGAAAGAAGAGCACCTGACGGCATGTGCAATGACATTATCACAAACACAATAACAGAGTAATGTGAAGGTAGGGAAGGGAGAGGGCAAGCGCAACACTCTACAGTTCTGATCATTTATATGAAGTAGTAAATTTTGACTGAACAGTAGACTGTGATAATTTGTGATGTGTATTATAAACCCTAATGATACAAGCAAAACCAAAAAGGCCAGGAAGGAGCTAAAATACAGTAAGTATCTTAAAAACCAACCGACTATAGTTTGTTTCATATCCATATGTGTATACGCGTGTATGAATATATGTGTGTGCATGTATGTACATATATATGAAGAGAGAACTAAGAACAGAGACAAGTCTTATAAAGAAAAGCAAGATAATAAACCTAACCAAATTAAATTAAATATGCATCTAATCCAATTAAAAGTCAGTCAGACTAGACTTTAACAACAATTGCCACCCAAATACTCCTACATAAGCATTCTTTAAACACAAAGACACAAAATAAAATTAACAGCTCAACAGATAAAGGCACTTGCTGCTGAGGCTGTTGATCCCTCTGACCCCTAGGGACCTACATGGTGGAAAGAAAAGAGACTTCTGAAAACTGTCCCCTGCCCTCCATATACACCCGCTTTGTGGCAGATGTACCCAAGCACATCGAGTAAGTATGAAGAAATACAATAAAAAGGTGAAAAGAGAAAACAGATAATTCTATCACAAATCAAAAGAAGGTCTGATACTAGGATGATACTATAATGATACTAGGATGGTCCGAGTAAATTCAGAGCAAAGATTATTTCCAGGAGTGAAGACCATAGCCATAATGATACAGAATCAACACAGCAAAAGAATACAAGGGTTGACATACTAGATAATACAGCTTACAAAACCTGAAAGGAAAACAGAGCAGCAAGAAGAAACTTGTTTCCCATCAGAGATTTCAACAGCCTTCTCACTAATCATTAACAAGGACCTGGAAAATTAGTGCAGCCACAGAGGATCTGAAAGAACACAACTAGCCTCATCATTTCCACTAACCACACTCACAGCAGGAAGCAGTCTTCCTTTCAAGTGCACATAGTTCTACCGGATTGTTCTGAGTCCTAAAATAATTCAAATTTTTAGATTCAAATCCTAAAATATATTAGCAAAATTAGAAGCAGAAAGCAAAATGTTACCCTGAAATTCTCCAGGTACTCAGAAAGGCAGCAACACATTCCCAAACATCCAAAGAGACAGAAGAAACAAGAAACAAGAAAAAGAAAGCATGAATTCTAAAGTGAGTGCAGATGAAAACACAACATACCACACCTTGTAGGGCTGGGGGGATGGGATTCAAAGGCTCAGTCGGCAAAGCACTGGCCACGCTATCATGAGAATGTGAGTTCAGTCCCCAGGACCCCACAGAACAGCCCGCTCTTGTGCTGCAGGCTTCTCATCCCAGGGCTGGAGAGGCCCAGGCAGGCAGATCAGCCTTCCTAGCCTACTCAGTGAGCTCTACAGTGAGGCTCTGTCTCCAAACAAAAGAGAGCGGAACTGTAACAGGTAAAACAAGGCACTTCCTGCATGCCTGAGAACCTACATGACTGTAGGAGACTGAAAGTTGTCCTCTGACCTCCATTCCTGAGTCATGGCACGTGACACCCACACACATGCCAACAACAAAACCAGGGTGATCAGCTCCTGAGGAATGATACTGGAAACTGACTGCTGCCTTCCAAAAGCACACAACATATGTGCACCCCCAACATGTACGGATCCCCCACCATGTGCACTCACATGAACCTCTCCTAGAGAAATGTGAAACTCTGCTAAGCAGTTCAGAGAAGTCAGGTCTTAAGTTATACCAAACTCCCTAGAATCAAAACACAAATGTATTTAGACCCAGAATAATGTTTATAAAATATCATTTGTGGGTGGATTCAATATACACTCACTGAAGACTTAGTTTAGGTCAAGCATCATTTTGATCCCTAAAAATCTAGTAACCAATACAAATTCTGACTTTTTTGTGGGATTTATATTCTGGGGAAGGAAATAAGTACTACATATAAACAATACACTCCCAGACAATAATCAACTGCAAGAAAAGAGACCGTAACTTAGGAGAGATTAGAAACCTGAACAAGGAGGTCATGTAAAGATGAAGGCTCACAGCAACAGTGCTTCAGCAAGGACAAAGGTCTTACTGATAGGAATACTCAGGGACACAGACAAAACCAATGTCCCCGGAGAAAAGGAAGTGTTGAAGGACAAGATTAAAGTTAGTAAAAAAAAAAAAAAAAAAAAATGAATCCAAGAAGCCCTGTATGCAGAAGGACAAGTAGCCTGGGCGGTACTGAATTACATAGAAAGATGTACTTTGGACAAGATGCCAAATGCCAACATTAGCCACTGTTAACACGCGGCTACTGAGTACTTAAGCTTGGCTGGTATACACGAAGAATTGAAAATTAAATTTAATTTGAATTTACTTAACAGTATTTCAACAGGCCTATGACATGAAAATAGAGAGCAGAATACTCTGGCTTTCTGTCGGAAGACGTTACTGGCTGGAGACCAAAGGGACTATCACTGAGACTCTCTCTACTAAAAACAGGGCTATTACATGTATGATGGGTCTCTGTTGTCTTTCCAGTATTGACTGAGAATCCTTTCAGCTTGTGAAAAAAAAATGGTTAGGAAGATTGCTAAACGTGTAACATAGGAAAATAAAAAAATAAGTGAACCCACTTTATCATCATTCCTATCTAGTATTTCCATATGATCCAAATGTTGGGAATTTACATTTTTCTACCCTAGAAAAATCATGTCTCAGTTACTCCCTTAATGTCCAGCTAATCATTCAGTCTTTCCCATTTCATCTCATTCTTCAAATCTTTTATCCCAACAAATCATTAATTGCTAATCTGAATTCTACAATAAGCCAATATTCTAAGTTTGTAAGAGTCACTCACTATCTTGTCTATTTCTAACGATTACCTCAAACTTAGTGACTCCCAAACAACTGCTGTAGTGTGCATGTGCGTGCGTGCTTGTGTGCGTGCGTGTGATGGTGGTGGCGTGAGTTAGGGGTTGGAGGTTCTTTAGTTTTGTCTTTGTTACAGTGTTCTCTATGCTTAAATTCCCATCTTTCCAAATCCAGAAATGTATGCAGTTCTCTGACGACTAAGAAGAAAAAGCAAATCTAAACACACAGGTTCTATTGGTTTTTAAATCTAAGAATCAACAATGCGTCTATCAGGCTGTCTGCAGGGTTTCCTTAACAGGGATTCAAGACCAATAGATGAGCACCCAGAATATTCAGTTTCTTTAAAACACAAGTCTCAGTTCCCAATTATTCTCAGCTCCCAACTGCCTGAGGATGGCCGCCCACGCTCTGCCTGGGTCGGCATCCTCTGAGAAGAGATCTGGAAAAAGTGGTTTGCTGAGATAGGCCTAGGAGGAAAGGGCAAAGAAGCCATGTAGATGGCCAATGAGTTCATAATAGGAAAAGCAGGGGATGGTCTGTGAAAACAATCTTATTAAAGATGTTTGGCACACAGCGCATCTAAATACTGCTCACTTAAAAACAACTTGTTATACAAACTATAAAAGCAATATAAGGTAAACCCCAAAAGCCCAACATGAGGGAGGCTCTGATAACATTCAGGAATATACACACCAGTGAACATGATGAATACAAGCTTTATGACATGGCTCCACACACTGACTCTTACGACCTTATTACAAGAGCAGAAGCTCTCCTGAGAGCTCAAGAGAAAGACCTTTACCATCATGACTCTAACAAATGCTAGACCCAGTGCCTTGGCCCATAACTCCCCTGTTCTGTATCTGACCTACTAAGATGTATCCAAGTTTCTCTGTATCTCAGATTCCTGCCTATTTTCTTTCCACATTATAACACATGACATTATCTTTTAACTTACTATGTTCTTCCTCCAGATGTGACCAGATATATTAGCCTGTGTTTTTTTATCTCTGTATTCCTAACAGAGACAACCAGTGTCACTATATTAGCAAGCTATAAGACCATCACGTGACTAATGAGTCAAATCTTCTTTCTTCTAGACTAAAGCACCGAAGAAAAATCTAAACTAATGGTATAGCAGTTAAAAACTGATTGTGATTGGTCAGAACGTATAAAACTGTTGTCTTTGTTGAGAGAACGAGCTGCCTAGAGTCTAGTGCTGCAGTTCTTTACATTCTCGTCACCACCTAATCCACACACTTGAAGGTTAAATGAGGACATTTGCATAAAGAAAAAAGTTAGGAGGCGAGTTTGGCAAGAATAGGAAGAGGGCAAGAAAGGATAATGGGGGAGGGGTGAATATACATTATGTACATGCCTAAAAATATCATAATGAAGCCCATTATTATGCATAGTTAATATACACTAACAGACTGATTAAAATGCTGAAAACGGGTAGTCACAATCAGACAGCTGGGCATGGGGGCTCACCTTTGTGCTATCTCAGCACTTGGAAGGCTACAGCAGGAGCACTGCCCAAGGCTGAGGCCAGTCTAGGTTACAGAGTGAGACTTCCACCTCAAAATACTAAAGCCAGCACCAAAAAATTAACTTTATGGTCCTCATCTTTATAAACACACATCCATTTTTAGATACAGAGATTTAATATAAAGATAACTATTTTCACTGGTAGAAAGAAAGACACAAGACACTTTACAAGTTTCTTTAAAACAAAGACACATTTTTAAAAAACCTAATAAATTTTTAATTAGAATGTTTTCCTTCTTTTTTAAACAGAACAAACAAACAAAAAAAAAAACAGATTACATCAAACCAGAACTTTTCAAATACCTAATTATTATACACATTCCCATCTGTCTTATAGGGAGGACTCTTGGTCAGCTTAAGAGTTTCAGGTAAAATAAGCTGCATAATAGTATATATTACAATAATAAATGTACAATGTTCACATGAAATATATCTTAGAAGCAAGAAAAAGATGCATCTGCATCCAACAGTGACCTGCTAAAATGCCACAACTATTTTTACATTCACTCTTGCAACAGGTTACAAGATGGGTCACTAAGCTCAAATAAATCACTATGATGCACATAAAATACAGAAAGATTGGTTATTTTATATATTATATATTTATATTTTAACACATTAGCATCTGAGACATAGATTGAGAATCTAAAATGTATTATCTTCTGATAGCAAATCATTTCTTCCTCATAAACATGGTGCCCACAAAGCACACAGGTAAGGCACGAAGGTTCTGTTACAGAATAGTGCGCATCATGGTCACTTAGCCAGAAAACGTGCATTATCTGTGCAAGGTCATGCTGCAAACCAACATATATACAACAAAAGGAAAACCGAATTTGAAACAGAGACTAAGATTGGTCATTCCAGCTGTTTCACGAATTCACTTGGACCAACAATGATATATCCAGGTTATCTTTTAATCTTTTAGCCAATTTTTAGGTTACAAATAAACCTTGATCAGTAACTATTTGACCTGAAATCATAAAACAATAATAAAGTAGCTTTACTGAAACAAACACTGATGCACAAACCAAGGGCCATTTGTGCATTTTCTACACTGCAGGCTTTCATGGCCCAACATTCCAAGGATAATTTGTGTTATACATTTTGCTGCAACAACGTGCCTGCTCTACACTGAACATAGAACAGGAGCTATAAACAGACTGGGAAAATGACATAATCCCAATAGCACTGTTAGAGCCCCAGTATTTATAATAAACACAGCTTTTCACAAAATGTTTTTCCAGTATCTGCCAATTGCTTCTTTATTGCTCGCATAAATTTGAACTCATTACAACTGGTGCCAGAACTTTCACACAAAATCATACTCAGGCATTTTTTTTATATAAAAATCTATAAAAAGTATTTTAAACATGTATCTAATACTTTCAGGTATTTGGCCGTTTGATCATCTATGACAGTACAGCCATATGTATATATCTGTGTGCATATATAAATATGTTACTGCACATGTTACATATGTATATAAACACACAGCTATGAACATATATATACACAAATTAGATTATGAATAAAATAGAAAGCTTATTTTACTGCTAAAACAGACATTCTCACAAAACAAGACTTCCACTACCATTAGCATTTATACATATATACAAAAGCCAATTTGAGTACACGTACATCCACTTACAAATGTATGTAACTATTAAAACCAAATAAATTTCCCCATTTTCCAGCTGCAGCAAATGAACCTTTTACAAGCAAGAGAAACCTAAGGTTAATGGGAAATGAATAGTTTTACCACAGTAGCCTGCAAGGAACTATGCAGCTGACTGTATACAAAAATTCACATTAGTCCACAAGAAATTATGGAAATATAAAAAGCGGCTTCGCCATGCTTTTGTGTGGTTATCTAAACACTTTTTGGTGCAAAAATATAACCACCATCTCTGAAACGCTTACTATAAAGTCAGTGTTCCTTGTGTACAGCCTCAAATGCACCTGCTTAACTGAGCTCCAAACACTGGAGACAACAATGATGCCACCTGCTCAGCATTGCTGCTAAATCCCTCTGGAACCTCAAGATTTCTGCAACTTTCAAACAGCTGTCTTCGCAATAAAAATATTACATACAAAAAGCATTTTAAAAGGAAGACGGGAAGCCAAACGGGACGTTTCCTATTTAAATAACAGTCCTAGGAGTGAAGGGGTCTTTTCAGGAACTTCCTTGAGAATTGGCTAGGCCAGTCCGAAGGCGCAGGTGAGACATAGAGTTCATATGTTTATTTGATGGCTTCAAGGGAGTGTTGCAAGTAAGAGCCTGGGGAAAGCGATGGTGGTATCTGTCTAGTCGTAAGTATTTTACTGTAACCAACTTCCCTGTTGCAAGATAAAAATCATATTTTAGATCTTTACAATTATGCTTAGTATTTGTAGAAAATTAACTGTAGTACAGAATGAACATGAAGCAAAAGTACCTAAAATCATTCAAAAAATTTTAACCTAAAATTATTCTATTTAAAATCAGGTATAATCTAAGATGCAACTAATTTTCCTTCCCAAATCTTTGTAATATTCAAATTTCTTACCATCAAACCAAGAGCCATGCAAGGCTTTAAAAGCCTTTCCAGCATATTCTGGAGACAGACATTTAACATATACACAACCCTGTAACAAAAAGAAAACAGAGAGAGAAAAGAAGTCTTAGTTTAACAGCAACAGATATAAACCCCTGTGTTCCACATGAGACGTGATTTACCTCACGTGAGTTTTTGTCTACTGCAATATGAACAATGCCATCATTGTCGCTGCATTTTTCTAAAATTGCTTCTTGAATTGCCAGATGCCACTGATCTCCTATTTCCCTGGAATTAAGAGAAACAAAATCAACTGTGCTATTCCTACCTGTATTCACTGTCTCTCACACCACAGGGTAACAGAGTTCAGTCATTTGTCTACCTATATACTTGTAAGATGCTTCACTTCCTTTTCCAGACTAGTGCCAGCACCAGCATTAGAGATGCAGAAGGTGAATACTGTTTTCTCATTGTCAGTAACACTTTCAAGTCTCCATTTATTTAATACACACTTCAAGTCTCTCTTTCCAAAGCACCTGTTCCAGTACGTTCTCTCATCTGCCTCACTGTGGGCGAGTCATACATGGAGGGCAAAAGGAAAAGTAGTTTCACTTTAAATCTGCCTAACGCAATCAAATGCTGACTGGAGCTGATATTCTAATCAGCAAAGCATGCAGTGGGTCCCTTTGCTTGAGACTTGACAAAAGGAAAAAAGCATAACATTTATAGTTAGAAATAATAAAAAAAATTATTTAGACACAGCATTATAGATGTACCATGCATTTTACACCCAAATACTCCAAATAAAAATTATATGTATGCCTTTTCATAATACTTACATAACTGGGTCAAACATATTTCGAATCTTTAAACATGGTGTCAAACTATTTGGTGGTGAATTTCTTCTATCTAAATGAAATGCTACAAAACAAAAATTGTGTTACTTGAAATTGTTCGATTTTGTTAAAAGACAATCTTTTAGTTTATTAAAAAATATTTATTGTGTACTTTTAATGAGCCAGTTAATTAAGGTGGATTAAGATAGTCATCAATATCCAGAGCCAATAGTTTGGTGGAAGAAACAGACACTGATAGTGTCTTCCAGGGGGTTCAAGCTGTCATTAAGTCCTAAGGAAACCAGGAAGTTGTAAAAATAACATCCTCCTCAATGGGAGCTAAGATTTCCCTGCAGAAGTGAGGCTGACTGAGGACTGAAGAGTAAGTTAAAGCAGCGGGGGAGAGAAGTGAGAGCACATTTCAGGTAGAGGTGAGGTATGCACTGGCCCTGTGACAAGACTGTCAATGAAACCCAGTGTGGCTGGAATAGAACAGAAAGACAAGTCTGGGAAAGGAGAAGTCAGACTATCTCAAGTATCCCAACAATGTATAGGAGTAATTTTAAATCACACATGTGTTTTAAGAGGACTCATATGACAAGATCTACCTTTAAATATTAAAAAAACTGAAGTAATTGTGTGGAAAATCAAATAGGCAAAGTGATTTTAAGACAGCCAGAAAGTTTTCTGTTGTCCAAGAGGCAGTGATGTGGAAAAGTGAGGCCAACGGTGGCACAGTGAAGTGGACAGGAGCGCTCACAGCATGACCTACGCAAGGACAGCACCAAAGACAAAGGAAGCCTGAGGAGGACTTCCAGGGACATGGGGAGCCAACAGGAGTGGCACCACTAACTAGACTGGGTACCAGAGAAGGACACTGGGACAAGACCGTGAGCTCAACTCACGTCAAGGTGAGTTTTCAGACGTCTGAAACTTAGCACCATGAATGTAAACTACAAACATGCGAGTTATTATACGGAAATGCAATGAAGCCACCACATGAGAAAAGGTGAATAAAAAAGTGAACAAGAAAGCAGCTCTGAGAAACTGCAATACAGAAAAGCCCAGAAAAAAGGAAAATAAGAAGTAAGCAGGAAGAAGGAAGAGGAGGGGCATGAGACACAACATTTGACTGGAAGAAAAGCTCAGTGTGGACGAGAAACCAGGAAAAGGAGCTATTGCCAAAGCCACGAGAAGGCTTGAAGGGCTCAGGTGCCAGAGACAGGCAGAGTAGTGTGAAATGAGTTAAAACTGTTTCTAGTTCCATAGGGTCCTCCCGTGTGCAACTTTTCAAGGAAATCATTTGTTCTTAGCATTTGGAACAATAGAACACTTTTTTAACTGAAAAAAAATTCTCGTATGGTATATTCTGATTATGGTTTTCCCTCTCTCAAGTCCTCCCAGATCTTCTCCACCCACCCAACTCCATGACTAAAGTCTACTAAAGCTTTTTAAAGTAAAATTGATGGGGGGGGGGAAGAGGTGGGAATATGATTGTACTTTAAAAATGCAATTCTAAGACACTTCACTTACCTTTTCTAGGAATACTATACTTAGTAGGAAAGAGGATTTACTATTATAATCCCCATATATATTGTTTGACATACATGCTTCTCCTGTATAGTAGAGGATAAGCACACAACCTTCAGAACTCCTCATATATTTTACCATCTCTCTCTGAAACTACACACACTATTAAGAAAACCAACAAAGAGAGCTACACAAGATCCTTGGAAGGGAGACACTCAGTAAAGGTATCTTAGTGAGAAACAAGAAGAAGGCAAGCAAAAACTGGAAAACAGAATGTTAGTCATTCTGCACGCACGCACGCACGCACACACACACACACTGTATACTGAACACATATTAACAATGATTGTAATCATGTAACAATGATTTCATGTGTTCAGCAACAAGAATGCAGTTAGAGCTATAATACTAAGCTGCTCCGGTGAACAAAACGGGAAAGATAAAGGAACATCTGCCCTACTACAGACAAAGCAGCTGTGCTCTAACCTTTACACCCCAATGGTGGAGCTGTAAACACATTTACATGTCTTTGGTTACAGTATTTCGGTTAACTACATAAAGTCCATTTTGAAAAATTAGGAGAAAATCTTTGGTTTTGCTTAGAAATACATACCTTGACCTTGCCATACTTTAGAAGGTATCACTAATATCTTATCACAGGATGCAGAAGGCTGGATCCACCGCCAGACTAGAAAATCTGCACCTCCTATCCTTCGTGTCTCTGTGCGCACTCTGGATTCATTAGCAGCGAGGAAGTCAACAGCTCTGTCCCAGACTTTCTTCATCTTTTTCCTATCACACAAACAAAAGGACAAATTTACTATACTCTTGGCTTGCCATCTTTTAGAAATGTCAATGACTAAAGTAACAGCTATTGCTAACTAGCTAGTCCGTCTGTCATCTGTCTGTCTCCCCACCCCCCAGCTAATATACTTGGGACAGTTTACCTAAAGGATGACTTAGATGCCTGTGCCTTGCCTTAAGTTACTGAGTTTCCACCTGCAGAGGTGAGCCGTGAGCATGGCGTCCTCTTGGTTGTCGACTCAGTATCCACTGGGGATGAAGATGTGATCCACATCTTTTAGAATATGGATAATTTTTTTTTAATTTTCAAAAAGTTAGATTCTAGCTTTCATTTTTAAAAGCTCCAATAATAACAACATAAATACTTAAAATATTACTAAAAACCTAGCTAGCTTTTGTCTGGCTCTGTTTCTTAGTACAATGAACATAAGGGGATAAAGAGAAAGACTGACAAACAAGAACAAAAGATGCAGGAATGAGAATAAACCAGCTATCATATTACACTGTGCAAATCAGGAGGAGAGTAAGTGCTGAAAGGACAGGGGGACATACAGTCAAGCAGTTTAGAGGAGTCACAATTCTCAATAAGATCCAAGTCTCCCACAGGTACCAACATTCTGACTTATCTCAACTGAGTACTGATTTACTCACCTGTCTTGAGGCTGTATTAAGGAGTCTCGAACATGTGGAATCGGCATATAAGGCTGTAAATCTTTATTTTCCTGGCAAGCTTCATTATGACTTCGTAAAACATCTGAAAATAAATCAAAAGCTTTACAAGTAAATCGACTCTGACAACTATGTTGTAGCTTTATCATGTGATAACTGTTCTACAACTAGTTTAGGATTTTATAATTCTGTACCTATAATCTTTACCACCATGTCGTACATCTGCCTTGTCTCCTCTTCCTCCTTAGTCCAGCGGTATTTCATATAACGTAGAACAATACAGACCATCACCACACCTGAAACATTCACAGGGCCGGCATTAAGACTGTGGTCAGTAACAGGTACACTGTCGCTAGTATAGCACTGACCATCTCACTACCCTAATGGAATAATGGAGTGCAAAGGTTTGAATTACCCATATAATAAAACTACACAGAAACACTTACTATTAAGTACTTTCCCAAAATTTCACCTAGATAACTAGAACTCTCTCTGTGGAGAGTTCTTCCATCATATTAAAGGTGTTTAAATACCTACTATTAAAAAAAAAAACTGTTCAGGCTCTTCTTTCAACATTAAACTACTAGAAAAATGAGCTTTACTAAACAGACTAGTAAAGTAAACTGAATTATGTTTAAAGGGCTAACAAAGAAAACAGAAAAGAGGAATAGTTTCTTCTGTCCAATTATAAAAATATCAAAGAACCTAAATATAAAAAATTCTCATAAATGACAAAAATTTAAGCCAAAAATTTAAGAGCTTACATTATTTAAAATAAGCTCAACTCCTATTTTCCAATTCTATTCTCTAAAAGTAGGTTTCCATACACATACTATTATACTTGTTCCTTCTAGAACCTGACATGACAAAGTTTCATCTCTCTTCTTATACGACTACTTTCCAGGCCCACAGGCCCACAATTGCCATAAATAACCCTCAGCTTTACTGTTATCTTTGAAACATGAAAATGGTTCCTCATAAAGGCCAGGTCACCAGTTGACAGTACTAATTTGGGGACTTTAGGAGAGATGGACTCTAGATGGAAGAAGTAAGTCATGGGGGATAAGTGGTTGGGGATACTTGTCTGCAGCCGCTTCTCTCTCCTCTCTGCTTCCTGGCCACCATGCTATCTATTCCACCAATCTGCATTCCACGTGGGCTGACACTCTCCACCCTCCTTCCACATGGGCTGACACTCTCCACCCTCCTTCCACGTGGGCTGACACTCTCCACCCTCCTTCCACGTGGGCTGACACTCTCCACCCTCCTTCCACGTGGGCTGACACTCTCCACCCTCCTTCCACGTGGGCTGACACTCTCCACCCTCCTTCCACGTGGGCTGACACTCTCCACCCTCCTTCCACATGGGCTGACACTCCCTACCCTCCTTCCACGTGGGCTGACACTCCCTACCCTCCTTCCTCGTGGGCTGACACTCTCCACCCTCCTTCCATGTGGGCTGACACTCTTCCTACTTCCACGTGGGCTGACACTCTCCACCCTCCTTCCACGTGGGCTGACACTCTTCCTCCTTCCACGTGGGCTGACACTCTTCCTACTTCCACGTGGGCTGACACTCTCCACCCTCCTTCCACGTGGGCTGACACTCTCCACCCTCCTTCCACATGGGCTGACACTCCCTACCCTCCTTCCACGTGGGCTGACACTCCCTACCCTCCTTCCTCGTGGGCTGACACTCTCCACCCTCCTTCCATGTGGGCTGACACTCTTCCTACTTCCACGTGGGCTGACACTCTCCACCCTCCTTCCACGTGGGCTGACACTCTCCACCCTCCTTCCACGTGGGCTAACACTCTCCACCCTCCTTCCACGTGGGCTGACACTCTCCACCCTTCTTGTGTAAGTCGTTTCTGTAAGGTACTTGGTCACAGTTACACAATGTGGTTTATGGCATCTACAGACGTAGGAGTAAGCCCTTGGCTCTGACATTTAGCGAGATGCAAGCAGTATAACAGCTTTCTAATCCTAACAACTTACCTAAGCATAATAACAATAACCTATGGGTTACAGTAATGAAAGCACGTCGAAAACGACACCAGAAAGGCATCTGGGGTCTGGTGGACTGTAAAAACTGCACGTCAGTTATATTTGCCAGCTCTTCCTCAGGCCCATAACCAATACACCTATTTAAAAATAATGAAAGTAGAGATTAAAATTGTAAAAACCACTTCATAGAATACAAAATCATCAAAGTGTAAATCAAATCCTGTACCTTATTCCAACATCTTTCCCATTTTTTAAAATCCACAGCAATGAAGTATTAAATACATCTTCATACTCAGGATCTAAATCCTAACAAAAAAAATAGAGAACCATTCTCAATAGTCCTATGTAAACTGTCATATAAATACATGCTGCTTTTATTTTAATCACACAAACAGAATAATAAGAACACAGAACTTAGTACCAAAAGAGAAAAGAAAGAAAAGCCACCATCTTCTCATGGTTCCAATGTAACCACTATTAATATTCAGCTAAACTTTCTTTCTGGTTGTATTATATTTATAGATTTAGCTATTTGTTAAATTTGTTTTTAAGTATCATTGTGAAAATATTTAATTTTACTTTTTATACATGGAACAGTATTTTCAAATAAACAAATGGCAAATTACTGAGACTTGGATGGTTTAAGTTTTCAACGTGTGAACCCATTCAGCCCAGAAAGCTCAGCAACCTAGACTATAACTAATGATAAATTCAGACTTTCAGGTGAAAGTGTATACAGTAGAAAAATCTCACACGTGCTGTTCACGGTACTTACAGGCTCTAAGTGGTATACACAGCATAACAAACAGTACCGGAGAGATGGCAGTAACTCAGTAATCCAGTATTTCTCAACCCAGTTTTTGAAGAAGTTAGTCATACACAGGTAAAAGACCAGCTCAAAGTTCCAAGACAGACCCAAGAACTTTTATGAGAGAAAAATACAAATCTTCACTGACGGTGGTAGCTACTGTTTTGTTTTGAAATTACTATTTGGGTTAGGGTAATGGTTCAAATGATAGGGAGTCTGAAAGACAGGCATGAAGAGCAGGGTTCAGATCCCCAGCACCCGTGTAAAGGCAAGGTACTGCATACATAGAGGGCAAGCACAGCACGGGGAGGGTGGTGGAGGTGGGGACTGGAGGCAGATGCTGGGGGCACGCAGCTAGAGTAGCTAGAACATCAAACCCCATGTTCAGCGAGAGACACTGTCTCCAAATAGGTGGAAAGGGAGGAAGGAAGATACTTAACATTCTTTGGCCTCTACATGCACAAACTCTTTTCCTCCTCCTCTTCCTCCTCCACCACCAACACCACCACTACCACCACCTCTTCTTACTTAGAGGTTTGATGTGGTGTCAAAGAAGAATATCAACAATTATCTAAAAAGGTTGTTTAAAATTCTTGCTTAACATTATATTTATGTGAAGCTGTATTTTCTTGACATACTGCAGCCATAACACTATCATAATACACTGAACACAAAAGAATCTAGTTTCCTCTTGATAAGCCAGACATAAAAGCTTTAGCTGTGCAACTGACACCTGGAGTTTGATTTCCAGAAGCCATGTAAAAAGCTGGGTGCAGCAGTGTACATTTATGATAGAAACACTTCTGCAATACGGAGAGGCCACGACAGCAGAACCCTTGGCAAGGAGGTGGGCGAGCTAGCTGGAGTGTCCAGGGCAGCCAGCTGACACACGGCGAAACCCACTCCAAGTCACCCTCTCCTCCGCACTTGCGCCTGCTATGGCTCGTAGGCATGTGTGCATGCACACACATACACTACATTTTACAAGTATTTTACCATGTAATAAGTTCATTACTATTCCAAATGAGTCCATTATTATTCCAATTTTAAGTGTTTTCAGTTTTACTTACTAATGTGATAAAATATTTCAGTATATACTAACATATTTACCATATCAGTCAGCCAGCCACACCTACATAAAAGATATTGCCTCAAAAAATATTCCAAGAATATAAACTTAAAAACACAAACACATTTCCCACAAATAAAAGCAATTTAAGGTTCTAAATAATTAGAGAAAATCCAAAAGCATTAATAGTTGGCAGGTGTGGTAGATAGGATTCATGTTATTATTGTGGGTGTTGTGTGCATGGTGTGGATTGTGTGTAGGTGTGCACGTGTGTGTAGGGTATGTGGGTGCATATACTGGGGTGTGCATTTGCAGAACAAAGGCTAACACCAGGTATTCCTCAACAGCCTCTTGGTAAATCTGAAATTCACTGGCTGTTAGAAGCACTGATCAACGAGTTTCCCATGTGACTGTCTTCACTTGCCCCTCCTCCCACCACCTCCTAGCACTGGTAGGAGTCACTGTGCCCTGCTTTTAATGTGGGTTCTAGAGATCCAAACTCAGGTTCCCATGTTTGCATAGCATTTATTTTATGTACTGAGCCATCTCATAGCCTGGGTGTACACTTAAATCAATAATCAAAGTAAAAATTACACATTGTATCATATATATTATTCTGCAATTGCAGAATATTAATGAATATACAGAGATATCAAAAAAATTTATTTAATTTTGTTTGTTTGGTACTGCGATCAAAACGTTGGGCCTCATGCATACTGGGCAAACCATTCATTCTGTGACAGTCCACCCCAAACCCTATCCAACTTCTTAAACACACTCTGTGTTTCTTAATGCAGCACAGATTCACAAAGGTCCACAGATACTACCTACTATGCTAGGAACTCCAAGCACAGCAGAGCAGCATACAGCGAGAGTCCCTGTGCTAACAGGGTCATTTACAAAGCATCACTTCATCCACTTTCTCAAGTGTAAAGGCTGCACCTTAAGTTGTAGCAGTCTCTCCTGAAATATCTTTAGAAGTGTTTATTGAATTATTATACCAACGGATTCCTCAATGGCACTGGGAACTGTTTTCACTGGGTCACACTTGTCTTTCTAGTTCACTGGTAAACTTGCTTTAGCAATCTAAACTGTACAGTGCACAGCTAACTTGCTGGGTACCATGACTTCCACAAAACTTTTGCTAGGATTTTTAAGAGAATAAAGGTAGCGTACAGGCCATCTACTTGAATTTGCTTTATAGAAAGGGTATCTTTCATTCTCACTCACATAATAAGCTGAGTCTTTTATGTGAGAAGTACTTTTGTTTTCTTTTGGTTTATGTGAGAAGTACTTTTGTTTTCTTTTGGAGATGGCCTACCTATGGATCACAAGCTAACCACCTCTGGATCATAGGTCAATACTGCACAAAATTACAACTGCTTTTCAGTTTTGAAACTTACCATTTGATGCCTCTGACACTGATTTTAAGACATACATTTTCAGCAGCTATTCTGAAAGTCAAGTATATCTGGAAGGGGTAGCACGTGTAAGAGCACAGGCATACGTTCAGTATATTAAAATAATACAACCTAGGAACATAATGTGGACAGTTCATAAAAAGGTCATTGCAAGGGAAAAATAGCTATGTGCCTTTAATTTAGAGAATATTCTTGATATTTTGAGTTGGAGACCAGCAGCTTGGCTACATACATCATACATACATGTCTCCAAAAAAAAAAAAAAAAGCAATACTGGATTTAACCACTGACTTGACTCAATGGGAAGGAATTCTGCTTTGTTTTGTTTTTTTGAGACAGGGTTGATTTCTGTATCAAACAGGTCTGGAACTAGATCTTAGTTCCATTACAAACTATATATACACACACTTAGTGAAAAGAAGATATATTGTCTATGAAATGTGCTACTTTTAACTGCCTCCTTAGAGTGTTCAATTGTTTATCCACAGCTAGAACTAAAGGGCTCTGGACTTAGCTAGACCATCAAAAAAGTGGAACAGCACAGGAGGACAGACTCTACTTCCACTCCCAGTCTGATCATATTCTAGCTGGGTGACCCAGTTATTAAACTTCTAAGCTTTAGTTTGCTCATAAAGTAGGTTTCATGGCCCCTACCTTGTTAGATCATTGTGAAATTGAGAACGGCACATAGCACCAAAGTAAACTGAATACTTGATAAAGCCATAGTCCCACTTTTTGTTAGAATACTTTTCTCATCTACCAAATTTCTATTAGAAGATTTAACTTTGCATAATGAGAACTAAAGAAAGACAAAAGGAATCAAGAAAAAAAAACTAACTTAAATGGAGTTGGTAATGTGTAGAGATGTAGAAAGCCAGAATACCATGTTATTTCAGAAGCATTACTGATCAGAAGAGGTAACCTCTTGCTGAAAGTACTACCCCCATCACAGGCCTCTTGAGAATACTTTAATTTTCACATAAAACAATGATCATCAACAACAATGATAATAATAAAACAATGATCGATAATGATCAAGGTACCACGCTAAACTGTAAAAGTCTTTTCTGGTCATAACCTGGCTCATTGGCAGCCATAGTCCTCACAAATCTTAAATGCTGCTCACTGTGTCAAAATGAGCAGGTTTTGAAAGCAGGTTTTGAAGCAGAGCAAGCCCATATCCCCTCACCCCACAGGAAAACCATCATAAAATGTTCCCAGAAGCATTCACGGAAATACAAAGCGTGTGTTTCCTATGGTTTCCACCAGGGGGACCTCTCAACTTTCCACAAATATAAGTCAGCTTTAGCTACCAAATTATGAAAAAGGCTCAATAAAAGCAGTAGGTAAGATTAAAAATACATCTATATAAATACATTCATTAAAACTCCTTTTAAAGGAGAAAGCAGAATAAAGAAAATGATAATAAAATGTAATGAATGAGAATTACTCATCACGACTACTGAAAACGCACCAGACCCCAGGCAAGCTAGTGCGCATTCGTGGGAAGGAGTTCTACATCCTCCTACACGTGAGCTGAGCCAAGGGCTGAGATGGGATTGGTTCATTTACCCCTACATACAAATAACATTATCTGCTTTGCAGATGAAATCATAATATAAACACATAGAATAAATACAAGAATTTCTCCATAAACAGAAAGCTTGTTGTATATGCCTTATAATCATTGTTTGATACCATGCTTGCGGGGAGGAGTTCTTATACTGCTACACAGATAAAATAAACTGAGGCTAGACTAGGCTAAACTATCATTCTAAATTAGGAAGCAATCCGAACAGAATCAAAAGCACTTTATAAGCTAATACTCTTTGAAAAAGGAATTTCCTTTCTAGGATTATTTCCTAAGGAAATGACTAGAAAAAAACCAATGCAATACAGTTACATAATAAAATATTATCCAACAATTTTAAAAAACTTAAGCCGTTTAATGGCAGAGGCAAATGTACTAACTTAAAGGTAAATATATGAATATTTATAAATGGAGATA